GAGTTTCAGAACATTTGATTCTTTTTGATTCTCAGACTCGGAAACCGAGGCCAAGAGGGAGATGGCCAGCTTGGTCCAGAGTCAGGGCCGCCGTCACTGAAGCTGTAGCCTGCAGGGGTTTTGCCCTCGGAGGCCGTACTGAGGCCGCGTTTGAGGAAGGGCCACCAACAATACTTTCTGAAGTGTGCGCTGCACTTGAGCTATGAAGCAACTCGCTGCCCAAAGGGTTGCTAGCTTGAGCGTGAGTGTGATGAGTCTTGGACAAGGCAAATGCCTTGATCAAGAAAGACTGTTCAAAGTTGTTTTTTCCTGATCTGATAATTGCTTTGCTGTGGAGTGGGTCCGGTACTTAGGGACCCACTTCGTGGGCGGCCCGGGTGTACTGGGAAGTCCTGAAATTTGCCTCGGGTCTTTTGGCCTATATGGCGCCTGCCGAATGTAGAGAGGATAGGAGGTGGCACTGCAGGAGCCTGATAGTGAGGACCGACACATGATGGTGCCTTGAATTCCTGAATGTTGAGAAGATAGGCATCATCCATCTTTGCGGGCTTGTCGCAGGCGCACGGGCATCTACCCCAGAACTGGCGCCAAGCCATGTTCGGGATCCTGAGATTTTTAAGATTGTCACCTTAGCCCTTGGCTCAGTGGGGGCCGTTTTTGTGATCCTACCCCGGCCTTTCAAAAAAGAGACGCCGGGTCGGTCCGTCGCACAGCAGAAGGCCAGCAGCTCAGCGCCGCTTTTGTTGCGTCTGCCCATGCAGGGGTCTGGGACCGACTTGTGGAGTGCCCGGAGCTCGGCGAAGCCAAGAGAAGCACCGCCGCCTCTTGCAGCCGCACCCCACAAGCCCACGACCAGCACCAATCCCGGAATCCGGATGTTCCGATGTCGGTTGAGGCGGCGAAGGCATTCCAGCATGAGTGATGACGATGTTCTGCATTACGAGCACGCATGCACTCATCCGGTCCCCCGGCCATGCACATGAACGATGGTTGACGATCGCGACGGGTGACGACAGCAGAGTGCGGTGGTCGTCAGAGCTTTGAGGCCCTCCGCCTTCTTAGCGAAGCGAGATATCCCAGTCTTGGTCGTTTGTGCCGCGGCCCCGATCCAGTTCGAAGTCTGAAGTCTCTGCGAGCTTCAGCTGAGGCTTGCTTGTGGAAGATGCAGATGGCTTCCGGGTGCTCCAAGAGGTGCATTCCTTCGCACCTGTCGAAGTCCAGTAAAGGAAGCAGAATTGATGTCCCATGACAGCCTAGGCATGTAGCATGTAGCTCTTGGCAGTCGCAAATGTTCACGACGCCACGACCTGCGCAGCCTAGCACTCCTGGCACCTAGGCCAAGCCTCGATCCGGAAGTGGAAAGCCGGTAGCCCCTTGCCGAAGAGCCGAGAGCGGGCCCGGGAAGAGCGCTCTTCGCTGACATTTTTTGTGGGTCTCCTCCTTTTCCGAGGATCTGCACCTCCGGCTCCTGGAGGCCTGCGGCCATCTGCGGCCATCTGCGGCCCTGGGGCCGGAGAGCCAAAAGCCTCGCAGAGCCCTGTCCTGGGAGGCCGCGGCGACGGCGGCGGCGTTTCCGGCGCTCCTGAGCCCGTTAAGTCGCCTTGGCAGCTTGAGAGCCCGAAGCCCAGCGGCAGCGGCTTTCAAACAGAAAACACAAGCGGCTCCTCCTCTGCCGCGGCCGTGAGGCGCTCTCGAGCAGCCATTTCGACGACGGCATGCTGCAGGAACTTCTGAGGTTCTGCCCCACTTTGCAGGACGCAGAGACAGCGATCCCCCAACTCTTGCGGCCTTCAAGCGCTTGCATGTCTTGAGCTTCTGACCCTCCAACTTTTTTCGCCTTTGCGCTTGCATTAGAGATGTTCCGGGCCGGAAGCATTTTGGCACAAAACGTGCTTGACAGTGATTTGCTTTGTGGAGCCCTCCGAAAGCCATGGCCTACATGTGGCAGAAGCCCAGGGGCATTCAGAGTCAGAAGCCAAAGGCCAACCTCATGGATTTCGTCCACCGGACTACCATGTGCATCTTGCCCTGGGCAATCTCTTAAGGGGGTTTAAGTTTAAGTCAATTAGCATGAGACACCCGCTGGTCTGAGGCAAGTTCTACCAGACGGGCAGGTGTACCAAAGGATACAGCTGCACCTTCGCACACTCCGAGGACAGGAGAAACGCCCAGTCTCGTCGGAAAAAAAGCCGCAAAAAGCCTCTGCCTCTGCTCTCCGAGGACCAGCTTCAAAGCCAGCCGGACCTGTACAAGACCAGCCTGTGCCCGTCTCAGTCTCGAGCCCTGCAAATCTCTTTTTTTCGCAACCGACCTCTCTTTGAAAAGAGGTGCTCGAAGTTCACCCGGAAAGGCTTCTGCAAGAACGGGGACCAGTGACCTGGCCGCAGACGTTGGCCGCAGACGTCAGCCTTTCTCAACTTCTTCATCTTCTTCTTCTTCTTCTTTCTTGTGTAAGGTGCAAGTACGCCCACGGGACGGAGGAGCTTCGAGACCCCACGAACCAGGTCCCTCCGCAGGAGGCTCCCCTGAAGAGCTGGTTTCCTCAGGAGCTCCAAATGAGGGAGCGGAGTAAGCAGAGTACTCACAGCTCTGAGAGCTCTCAGAGCCGGAGCCCACAGAGCTTTGAAGGCTTTGCTCTGGACTTCTCCGTGAGAATTCGGGACTGGAGTGAGGCGGAGGAGGCGGAGGCGGAGTATTCAGAGGCCCCGGGCCCCGGCCCCATTTCGACGGAGGTGAAGGAGAAAGAGGCGGAGGACCGTTTTGAAGACTTGAGCTCTGACGAGACTTGCACGCCTTCGGCCTCGGGATCTGCCGACTGGTCCCCCGACTCCCTCACGGCCTCCCTGGCTTCCTTGGACTGGAGTCCCCAGGTCACCGAGTCCGAGCATGTCCGGATCAAGAATACCTTCCTGGAATTCGGCTGCCCCCCGGAAGAGGAGGAGGAGGCCCCAACTTTGAGGAGGAGCTCCTCGGTCCCTGATCTGCGATAACTGGCTCCTTAGCCTTCGGCACGGCGCAGTGCCTGTGGCTACAGACCGCATGCCACCACAGCTTGCAGGTGACCGCAGGTGCTGTGCCGCTTGATCAACGGATGGCTGTTTGCTGCTAGGCCGGAGCCACAGCAGATCAGGCCCGACGGAAAGAGGGAACGGTCTCCCTCGCAAAGCCGACAGGGCTTTCACTGTCGACGCTCTACTTTTGCGTCATGTCAAGGCACTCTTCACGCGTGAAACGCCTGCAAGATGTCGAATTCTCTTGGTTTTTTGGGTTAAGTTTTCTCTAGATTCCGACTTTCCTTTCGGCAACCTTAGCTAGCTAAAGAGGTGCCGAACTGTAAGTCAGCACACGACTGGTGCTGCCTGTGCTGAAGAAGTCTCGGCAGGGCGTTTCTGATTATCCGAGTCCCTGTGCTGGGAAAGATCCGGATTTATCTGGCAAGCCAGTGAGTCTCCGGACTTCCCATGCGTCAAGCACACTTATATAGACATATATATGCTGTATACATGCTGTAATGCTGCAGAGAGAGCTACAGATGGTCGGTATAGCGTATGAGATCGATGGATGTTGGATGTCAGCCTGCTGACGGCGATTGTCCATGTCGAGACTTTACTTGCCTCCAAGGCGCTAAGTCCTCTACAGAAGAGTAGTTGGGATGCAGCTGCCGACGAAGCCCCTTAATTCCTAACTGGATGCATGCGCTCTCGTGCACCGACAAAAAAAAGAAGGGGGCTCCGACCTCGACCTGCTCTCGAGTTTTTTTGTTGCATCTCTTCTTCGCTGCCTTTTCTCGTCCATCTTCGCAGGAGCTGGACCTTCGCCGCTCCGAGCTTCTGCGCCGCGACCCGGCCAGATGTGAAGTCCGCAGTTTGCAGCGAAGAGACGCGGCTTCGGCCGCGCGGTCACAGCACCTTTAGGCCCCTTTTTGGAGCCGCAGTTGCTGGAAGGCGCGACAGCCTCTAAGCCTGCGAGCGACAGCCCAAAGCGCAGGCTTCGAACTGCTTTTTGAACAGTCGAGGTCTTCAAGGTCTCTTTGTGGACGGCTGCTGGCAGCTGGAAGACGATGCTGTGGGCACACGAGAAGGTGCCTCTGCGCGTCCTTGCCGTGCGCCAAAGTCACCTTCAGGTGGAGGCACTGGCGTCCCTGCACTTCTCCGGCCGGTGTGCGGTGGACGCGGGCCCAGCGGTCTGCGACGTGGCAGCGTGTCGTCAGAACCTCTCTGAGCGCGGGCGAGGACTGGTTCCGCTGCGCCGAGGGCTTGGGCGGCTTGGGCATGCCCAGCAGCCGTCTGGATTCGGTCCCGACCGGCGCGGCGGCCTTGAAGCTCTGGCAGCTGGGCCAGGAGGTCGAGGCGGGCGCGCGCCCGCCCTCGCAACAGGGGCAAGCGCAGCGCAGCTCCCAGCGGGAGGTGGTGATCTTGTCCGAAGGCTATCGCGGCCAATGGGCCGGGGGGCCCGACGGATGCAAGCGAGTCGGCCCTCAGTCTTGGCAAGTGCCTCAAAGGTCGCCGCGAATGTCGTGTCGGCGGCAGTCTTCGCAGGTCGAGCCAAAACTAAAACACGGCGAGTGTCCGAGTCCTCCCTTTCTCCTTGCTGGCAGACCAATCTCCGGAGCCTTGCTTCAACATTCTGGTGCAGAAGACGGAGGCGCCAGGTCCGCCCGAGCAGTGGAGACATGCGCTTGGCTCCTGCTTTTGGGAGGCCTGCAGCCAGGCAGTTGGATTCTCTGGCCGCGTGGCCTTCAGGCAGCCCCGTGCAGGCAAGCGCTCCCCTCCAAGAAACGGCTCCTGCAACAAACAGGATCCGGCGCCGCCACCTTCGGCAAATGACGGCTTGAGGTTTGAGAGGGCTTTTCGCCTCCAGTCACGCTTCGCCTCAACCGCCGCGCCTCAAAAGAGAGAAGTGTTGCACCGTCAGCCACCATCTTGAGGCTGCGGCATGCTGCGGCTTCGAGCGAACAGTCTAATTGAATAGTCTAGGGCGGGGTATCACGTCGTGGCCAGGTCTGGCATCTACCAGGCGCATTCGCAACGTCCGGAGCTGCTCAGAGGTCGTATAGGGACCTGTAACATGAGGAGACGCGGACGGCCTCTCCACTGGTGGCCCAACCCTCATAATATGAAGCAGTGTTTGTTTTGACATGGCTCGGAGGGAGGAGTCGGCGCTTTTTGGACCAACCCGAGGATCGAGATCGCCAGCGCCAACTCCAGGCTGTCACGGTCCTAGGCGCCGAAAATTGTGAGTTTCGTTTCAGATGTTCCTTGATCCTGACACCGCCTTCGACGGCTTCCCTTGGCAGGCTGGGGCGTGAGCGAGGCTTCTGTCGAGTACTGGATTATCGAAAATGCTTGGGGCCAGGACAGCCCCTAGTGAGGAAGGAAACAGTGCCAAACCTCTGACATGATGACAGGACTGGGGTGAGAACGGCTACGCGAAGGCTCCAGTGCAGTGTTCTTCTTGGGGGCCAGGGACAATCCTTGAATCGCTGTGCAGATTGCCGTCGGCGACGTGCCCAAGAAAAGGGGTATCCTCCTCGAGGAGCCTGGGACCCCAGCACAAGGAGGAGCTGCATGCCGCAAGCGGCCGCAAGTGGCCGCAAGTGCATCGTGCAGGTTTGTCTTCGCTGGCACGCCCTTGAACCCCAAGGCGAATTCGAGCGTTCGGTCTTCATGCGACTGATGCCCACAGTGCAGGTTCTCTTCGGGTGATCCTGAGGAAGGGATGCCCTGAGCCAGATGGGAAAAGTCGCCTCGCAGCTGAACACCAGCCTTGGCCAAAATGATGCACCTTCCGAATCTGCAGCAAGCATCATGGCAAGCGGAAGGCTCCCGTATCCGTTCGTTGTTGGGGTCAAGACGACCCTCCTTGCCCTTCTTGCACTCTGCCCACAGCATCCTTTTCTGTGCTCGGAAGTTGGAGTGATGGGCCAACGCTTCATGGGAGCGGTGAAGTTTCCAACTCCTGGGAGCTATCGAGGATCCAGGCGACACGGAGCCTGCCGCCACACAATAGACTCCAATAGACCAGCACCGCAGCAACCACTGCGTCTTCACTAGAATGGTGTACAGTACTCGTGGCCCCATATTTCTGCTGAGTTATTCCGGCCATGCCTCGATGGGAAGCCGTTTGCCTCCCTGGCCTTCGTCGCTCGGAGGGTCCGAGTCGTGCCCATGCCGACCGCGACCGGTCTGGCTTGCTGGCCGGCGGTGCTTTGATTCCCGTGGAAGCTCGGCCAAAGGCTAAGCCTTAGCCCTTTGAAGGATGCTCCGATGGTCTCTGACAGCTCGTAGAAGGGAATGTCATGGCCGGATTGAGCATCCCGAGCCTGCTTGCCTTTCCAGGTGGCGGAGCCTCTGCTTTTGCGACGCCACTGCCCAGGGCAAAGGAAGCTGCAAGGCCCAAACTCTTACTTGGAGCGCTCGTGCATGAGTGATGCATCAGTGGCAAGAGGCCGCATCAGCTTCAAGCAGCCTCTGGAGAAGCCTCAGAAAATCGAGGCTCAGGCTCAGGCAGGTGGGGCGGGTGGGCGGGGCCGCTGCTCTCGGCCACAGCTCAGAAGCAAAGCAGGCGAAGTTCGAGCCCGAGCCGGCCCAAATGGAAGCGCCCCAAAAGGCCGTGCTGGAAGCTGGCGAAGGCGGGCCCCCCCGCGGCCCCCGCGCTGAGATGCGAACGTTGAACGTGAATCGTGAGACGTAGAATCACGCAGACGTCGTCAGCGTTTTGGCCATAGGAAACTCTGCGACAGCACCAAGAGAAGAGGCCAGGCGAGCTTTCCTTCAGGGCTTTCCGAATCAGTCAGGGAAGCCCCTCCCAGCCGGCAGGAGCTCGGGAGCCTTCCGCTAACAGCAAACTCCTCCTCCACGCCCACGGATCTCGTCGCCACGACACTGAGGAGGATGGGCAGAAAGGGAACTGAAACAGCCGTGCAGGTTTTTGTTCGTACAAGTGAAGAAGTCTGATGCTGACTGGGGATGTTATGGTCAGTCTCCAAAAGACTTACCTCGCACACTACCTTGGAGTTGCACGTGTTTCAGAGTCAGCAAGCCCCAAGCAGAGAGAGCGTGGCAAAGCCCCATGATGCCTGCTATCCCTCTATGGAGTCTTAAGCCATCCTTACAATCCAGATGAAGACTTTACGAGACCCGAAAAGACGAGGGGGGTGGTCTTTCCCGAGGCGTGTGCTGCAGAGCGGAAGCAGGCGAACCTGGCCTCGAGTCAGGCGGCGAAGTTGCGTGAGGTAGCTATAGGCGTGTGTGTCTGCGTCTGTGTGTGTGTGTTGGTGTCTGTGTGTGGGTGGCTGTGTGTGGGTGAGCTGAGCTGCGAGCTGTGATACCCAGGAGGCGATTAAAGGCCACGAAGTCGTCACTTATTAACTTATTGTTGTCTTTGCGGTTGTAAGTTGTGTTTCTGGCAAGCTCAGTGGGCTTAAGAGAATCCTTAGTTGCAAGCCGCTCGGGCACATAGTGGCCCCAAAATTTTGCAATTGACACGGTTAGTGCCTGTCAAGTCGAACCTTTCAGTTTGCTGTTACCAGTATAGGTTTTTGGATGGTCTATGGGGTCCACTGTTACAGCGAACCGCGGACGACGAACGCAAACCTGACGACGTGCACCAACCGAAGTATATGTTCGACAGAACAGCAGCCGCATCTGAGAAACCGGAGGGGCATCTTGACCTTTGTAACTGTATGAGCTGCCTGCGAGGTCGTGGGGGGGCTTCGGTACCACGGGATACATTGAAGGAAGCCTTGCTTTTGTCAGCGCTTGCGAGGCTGCCGGTGACCGCAGAAGCGATGCAGCGATTCGGCGATGAGTGGCCAGAGGCACCAGTCAGCGGAAGAGGATTTTTTGACAAAAGTGGCTGGCCTTTTTTCATTCTCTGGCGTCAGGCCCTGGCGCGTTGCATTGCCAAGCTGCGGCCGGAGGCGTTCACTTGCCAGCTCGATCCCCAGAAGCCTCCAAAAAAACGCCAGGCCCCGGCGAAGCCGGTGGAAGTGGTGGCGGTGAGGCCGCTCAAGATGGAGCTTTTGGACCTGGCGGAAGGTCGGGAGGAGGCTCCTCGCGGGTTGCGATCAAGCTCCTTAAGAGGCCTGATAGCCTAGCAGTAGTAAGGCACCAAGGAGCATGAACACTTCATGGCAGAGACGTTCTTCACAATGCTCGTTCTGCTGCAATTACTGTTGTTGTGAGCGCCAGCACCGCCACTCAGTCATCGCATGCTGCCTTTGCAAAAGTATCTATACTGGTAGGACCAACAGTGACAGCCATGCCATACCTGAGAGGTGAGTGAGTGCTCTCAAAATTGTCGTTGTGCAGGTCCAGTGCAGAGCCGGCGGCGGTGCACTACCTGCGGTCGGCAGCGTCTGCTGTATGCAGTGGTACGGACGCCCGTCCCAAAATGTTTGCTTGCCTTTGATGTTAAAAGCTCGTGACAGTTGTACTGCGAACGCTCGAGAGACTTAGAGAGGGGCATTCGCGGTTCAGTGTTGCTGCTGCCTTGCGCTAAAACAAGTCCTTGATTTGAGAAGTCTCGCTGGTGCTTCTGCTGACTTCATCTGTATTAACATATTGGGAAGGCTCGCGGATTACACGGATGATGATCATGAGTGACGATTTCGCTTTTCTTAGCTGACGATGCAACAACGGCTCCTACAAAAAATAAGCTGAAGCACTGGCTGATTGCATTCCTGAGTCCGCAAGTCTAGTAAATTCCCGTGGCGGGTTCTTCTCGTGGCGAAGCGCAGACGTCTAGTTCAGTATGCATCCTATTGAGCCTAGTGGATCGTATATGTGAGCTGCACCTGCCGACGTAAGTGCACGCAGGCGAAACGACACAACTGATGTGTGTGGGTATATATATATAGAGTATATATATATATAATACTATATATATATA